CTGTAGGTTTACACAGGCTTTTATAGGCTGCCAGTTTACACTTTGCCACATCATATACGAATAAGGTATAACAAAAGTTGACTAATTAGGAACAAGCTTTGTAGAAATGGACCAATCAGGAGGGAGAGAAATAACCAATCAGGAGTGAGCTCTGTGCAAATAAAGTACTACAAATTGACCAATTAGGAGTGAAAGAACCAATCAGGAGTGAGCTCCATCCAAATAAAGCACTACAAATGGACCAATCAGGAGTGAAGGATATAACCAGTCAGGAGTGAGCTTAGGGAACCAATAGAATTTTAGGGGTAAGTTCCATTTTCCTAGAAGTAAGCCGTTTCAGAGGCAAATAGTGAGATAGAGCCTCTGGGCCAGGGAATTGGATGGTGCTGGCAAGAGAGTAGTGGCCCTGCCTGAGGGTCCTGCTGGTCTTTTTTTATGGGGCTTCCCACCTCACCACAAGGGAGTGAGGGCTAACTTGTGTGGGCAACCAGAATGCAGAGTGACAGCATGTGATTTTTGAGACTAGATCATAAAAGACATTGCTGCTTCTGTCTTGGTCTCTTGGATCACTTGCTCTCTGGGAAGCCAGCTGTCAACGTCAGGAAGACGTTCAGGCAGCCCTGTGGAGAGGACCCGACTTGCCAGGGTCATCTTGCTGGCCATGGGAGTGAGCTGCCTGGGTGGTGGAGCCGTGGCTGACCCCAGACACCATGGAGCAGTGATAAGGGAGCTTTGCTGTGCTGTCCAGATTTCCTCTCCACAGATGCTTTGAATATAATAAATGACTACTTTTTTTAGCCCACTAGTTTTGCTCTGATTTGTTACACATCAGTAGATAACGAATACATTTACTAATCAGAGTTCTGGGAAAATATAGCAGGCAAAAAAATAGCAGGAAGTGGGGTAAAACGACCAAAGAAATAATATAAGAATATTTCCCAGAAGCAAAGATAATGAGTCTTCAGATTAAAGGGGCCCACATGTACACATGAATAGAATATAGATCTATAAAGTGCATTGTTTTGAAATTAAATTTAGAGTACAGGGTAAAAAGAGAAGATATCAAAAAAGTTCTGTAGGAAAAATTACCACTGATTATGTCTCAGAAGCACATGAACCGTCTCAGCAACACTGATACCCAGAAGATTGTGGAGCTGTGCCTTTAAAATTCTAGGGGAAAGTCGTTTTTAACCTAGCACTTTTTTATCCAGACAAAATGTCAATCAAGTGTGATAATTTCAATCACTCATTGGCTGTATATATAAATGTATTCTTTAAATTTTTTCCCCCATGAACCCTGACTTAGGAAGTTCTGAAGGATATGCCTTGGCCAATTGAGAGAACTGAGTAAAGACACGAATGATGTAGGGAAGGAAAGAGGAGTCTCAGGTGGTCCAGGCCAGACTGGAGCAAGACCTGAGGGAAGTGGGAGTTGGAGTTGGGCTTGGGGGTGGAGCAGGAATTGATAGCTGATTTGACGTGTTTGAACGATTGCATCAGTTATGAATAAGTACGGGGCATGCCTATTGGGGCTTTTGTACAAAATAATAATAGTTGTATAGAAAACCAAGAAAGCAGAAGATAGTTATTAATCCTAGTTTGAGAAAGAAAACAGGATCATAGTTTGCTTACCATCCAGAATTTTTGCAGTCATAATAATGTAAACACCATTGGTTTAACCAAAAATTATGGCATAACTCTATTGGGAGAGTAGCTGGAGGGGCAGTGGGTGTGGTGGTATAAATCCTCAGTGACCGTGGTAAGATGTCAGTAGACAGTGTCTAAAGATAATGAAGCAAGGAGATACCAGAATGCCCCTTACCTTGAAATATGGAGATACATACCAGGTTAAACTGCTAGAGGTGTTGAAATGTGTTGCTTTTGGAAGATGAAGGTGGGTTAGACATAGAACTTCTTAGTTCTAATATAAGCCATTAAGAATTATGTCTACATTTAACAAACACAACTTTTTAAACTCTTAAAAGGAAAGTCATTTATTCAAACTGATGCTGATGTACCAGTAATAACATTATAATTTAACTGCCTTTGCTTTTTATCCTCTCCATTTCATTGGTGAAGAAAAGCTGTAAAAGCAAAATGACTTCTATTACCTCAAGTTAGCGCAGGACCCAGGGTTGCAGATTAGTCATTTTTCATCCTTGCGGCAGTGTTCTGACAGTGACTGCCTTGTGTGTCTCCTTCCCTTCTGTCCTAACCTTTTTGTATTATGTTTTAGAAGTGATTTTGAGAAGTACTGCTAAGGCATAGGTAATTGCCCGTTAATTTTCTTTAGCTACAGAATGAGACTTTTATTGTCAATGCCCCTTAATATATTTTCCCTTGTAAGTAAAGGGAAGTGGTTATAATATAGCAAGTTGGGTTCTGTATAAGTTCCCACCTTTTTGGTCCCTTAAAATGCTCTTGATTTTTATCATAAACAAGAATAATAAAAATAGAAACTGTTGCCCAGGCACTTTAATGTATTTTCTATAGTAATATAGGAAAATGGTTGTCATAAGGGAAGCTGGGTTTTGTGTTAACAAGTTCCAATTGTTTTTGTCTCTAAAAATGTCTTTGTCTTTATTATGCGTATTAGCAGTACCAAGCTAGCCCTCCCTGGCCTTGCTGGGTGAGAGCAAGAGTCCCTGTGTTTCCTCCTTTTCTCTTAAGTCTTGGCAGCGTATGGAAAGCTTCGTGCAAAAATAAAACCTACATTCTTTTCAATGGCCTTATTTTTTCTCCTGGTCAATTAATATTCTGACGTACTTGAAGTAAAACAGAAACATGAATTATAACATTATGTAAATACGATGATCTACCAATGGACCAGATAATAACATGTTTTGTTGCGTGTTACCAAAGCATCAAATATAATGCAATAATTTAAACTGTGTATGTGAAGATCCTGAGGTGTGTTTATTATTTTATCTATTTGATTTGGATGTATTTATTATTCGTGTTGGACCATGATTCAGCAAATTAGAAAAGCATAGAAAAAAGTCATGACGAAGCCTGAGTTCATTTCTGTTTTTCTCCCCCTGAAGACTGGCACGCAGCCTTTTAACCGTGCAATGCTCTTCAATGTGGGCTTCAAAGAGGCCATGAAAGACAGCGTCTGGGACTGTGTAATCTTCCATGATGTGGACCACCTGCCTGAAAATGACCGAAACTATTATGGATGTGGAGAAATGCCACGTCATTTTGCAGCAAAGCTGGATAAGTACATGTATATGTAAGTAATGTGCCGTCTTCCTGATCCTGTGCAGCACACTCGCAAAATTGTCTCATGAAGTGGTGGCAGCTTCATGTGCCTGGACCGGAGGGGCTCTGGAGCCCGGACAGTCCCTTTAACTCCGCATCCTCGGAGGGAGCCGGGATGCAGAGTCACTTGTCATCCCTCCGAGGGCTTCCTCACGCAGAGGTTTCAGTGTGGGGTGGCGGGAAAGAGAGCCAGGTTTCTGCAGTCCAGTAAACGTGGGTCTCACCTCTGGTTTTCACACTTAGCAATTAGAGGGCTTGGTTACCTTAGGACTTGTATCTCTGAACGTTGGTCTCCTTGTTCAGGGAGCGATAGAGCCCGTCCACCGGGCTCTGCGCGATCCCAGGTGCTGGGCCCGCCCCAGGGAGGAGCAGGGCACAGGCTGGCTCCCCTCCCCTCCCCTCGTGATGTTCCAGGGCAGGGAGGGCCCTCTCTTCTTCCTAAGCTGTGGATTCTTGACTTGCCTTTAATAATAAGAAGCATTTTTTTCATTCTCTGAGTGGAGATACCTTGAAATGGTACCGTCATTGGAGCTGTGACATTAAAGCGTGCGGGTCTAATCTGGGAAAGGCCTCCCAGTTTTCTTTGGCTAATGGAAGTGGAGAGGGGAGGGCGCAGCCTGGAGCGGGGGAGCTGTTGCCTCTTCATTTTGCCTGCTGCTCGACCTGTTAGAGAGGCAAAAAGTGACCGTGTGAATCAGCACTAAAATCGCCACAAAGGAGTACCTTTTTCTTTCTTTTCTTTTTTTCTTTTCTTTTTTCTTTTCTTTTTGCCGGTTACAGTCATTATTAGAAAACCTTTTCCTTTTTTACTGCAGTGTCTGAAACCCAGGTCGGCCTTGGGAGGCCCATCCAGGTTCAGGGTCTGACTCTTAGTACTTCAGGAACTCCATTTTGGTCAGCCTGCTGGAGTCAAATTAGATTCAGGGTAATTGACTTTTACTGAAAAATATCATAAACAAAGAATTCTAAATTTTTTTGCTTGAAAATAGTAATTTCTGATGAATAAAATATTCATGTCTACCTAGGCTGATCCCAGGGTTCGGAGGGTATCTTGGAAGTTGGAATAGAAATTAGAGAGAATGACAGCAGAAGAGGGAACTGGCTAGACAGTCTGTAGACTTCGGGCCGTGGGGTGAAGTGTGGTGCAGCGTCCTGGCCCCACAGTGGTGCCCACGGCCTGACGGCTGCTGACCAGCAAGCGCAGGTCCCCGGGTTAGTGTCTCTCTCCCCCTGGACAGTGGAGGGTAAACACTACCAGATGTTACTTGTCAAGCTTCTGTTTTCTGTTCTTTAGTGTATCTATTATACCTTCATATTATCAGATCTTTTTCTATCCTGGCTGTAGTGCAATTGATTATTTCCACTTAAGCAGAACAGTAAGTGGAACTAATGTGCTTGCCAGTTTATCCAATTTATACATGTCTGGAACACACACACACAATCACACACACCTCCATATTGACCTATCTGCTGATCTCAGGTTTCTCCCAGACCACTAGCCTGGCCGAGAATACTCCACCTGGTGTGGGAAACAGTTGGCACCATGAGCGCTTATTGGCCCCACTGCAGTCGAACCAGTGTCATAACCAGAATTTGACTTTCGCAGTAGGAGCCTCGTGAGGTGTCCTGCAGCCTGGAACACCATAGTTGACCGTGGGGTCGGTATGGCTGTTAGTGTCTTGGGGTGCCTTTGGCCCAGGGTGGGGCCA